GTTTGGCGTTCTTCGTTTAGCATTAAACCATCAGCTCCTGGGCTGACTTTGCTGGATCACACAGTCCTGGACAAATCAGCAGTTATCTGAAATCTATGTCACTTGTAGATTATTTTCCTTGCAGTGGAATGATTGGTTTAAAATAATTCGACAATCTTTTTAAATACCTTGCCAGACTCCTAGGAATCCACAATCTTCTTACGGAGAGCCTTTTTTGGCCTTGTCATGGTGACGCCTCACGTCAACAGCAAACAGAATGCCATATCCAGATGCCTGAGGTTCAAATAAGACAGATTCTGCCTTCATACTCCATAATGAGGTTCTAATCATTGGCATCTAATGTGCAACACCAAATTCTAATTTCATGGATTTGAATTGGTGGTAAATCTAAAGGTATATTTTTGTTAATAGGTGTCCCTTGTTCCCATCTCAAAAAGTTGGGAGGTATGAAACTACCCTGTCCGTATGTAGAGTATTGAGAGTTACCAGGAAGTGTTCCAGTTTCTACACATATTTATTAAAAAATGTAACCCCTTCCCACTGAGCGCATGCAAACATGCAGCCCTGCTGGACTGCACCTTTTTCAGTGGGGCCACAAATTTCCATATGTGTCATTGTGCTCCGTGTGGTGCACTCCCAGCACAGAGAACGGGGCCTCACCGAGAGCCCCGGGTCCCGTACTGACGATCGGGACTCAGAACTCTCGATTCCAGGTCACCTGATTGCTGTGATAGCCTCTGATTGGCTATCACAGTGACCAGTCACTGTGAAGCCCACCCCCGTGTTTTCTCACTCTGAATGGAGGAAAGAGATACATTGTATCTCTCTCTCTCTCTCTCCTTGCAGAGAAAAAAAAGCAACAGTGTGTTAAAATAAATAAGTAAATTAAACAAACCCCTAAGGTTGGGTCTAGGTCATTGCCAGGGGTAGTGTTTGTGTCAAGGTCAGGGTCAAAGGTCAAGGTCAGTATTTATTGGGCAGGATTTTTTTTTCTAAAGAATTAAAAAATTAGTATCAGTGTCAGTTTGTGTCACCGTGTTTTAGGTACTAAAAAAAAAATATGTGCACTATTGTTTCTGGGTATGGGTACAGTTGCAAGAAAAAGTATGTGAACCCCTTGGGATTATGTGGAGTTTTGCATGAATTGGACAATGGCTGCAACAGCACAGAATACGCCTTCTGGAGTGGCCCAGTCAGAGTCCTGACCTCAACCCCATTGAAATGCTGTGGCATGACCTTAAGAGAGCGATTCACACCAGACATCCCAAGAATATTGCTACACTGAAACAGTTTTGTGAAGAGGAGTGGTCCAAAATGACTCCAGATCGTTGTGCAGGTCTGATCTGCAACTACAGGAAACGTTTGGTTGAGGTTATTGCTGCCAAAGGAGGGTCAACCAGTTATTAAGTCCAAAGGTTTGCATACTTTTTCCCTGCACTGTGAATTTTTACATGTTATGTGCAATGAAACCATGGCAACATCTAATGTTTGTGTAGTATTATGTTCAGCAGACTGTGTTCTTCTATTGTTGTGACTTAGATGACGTTCAGAGCACATTTTATGCCCACTTCATGCAAAACTCCACGTAATCCCAAGGGGTTCACATACTTTTTTCTTGCAACTTTACAAACAACTAATATACACATATATGGTATCTCTGCACTTGTCAAGAGCAGGAGAATTTATTTTGGGTTGTTCTTTGGTGGTAGGATATGATAGTAGCAAGAAATATACAGCTACATTTTTTAAAAAAAATATATATTTTTTTACTATTTTGAGCCAGTTTTCCTTTAATAATAATAATAATAATAAAAAAAAAAAAAATCAGGATATATCTATTCCCATTTACCTACATATGAAAGTCCAATTTTTTCCTGAAAAAAAAAACACGGTATAATTCCCCCAGATGCACAAAGTAGTTGTGATGATACGGAACGGACGGTTTTACTAACACAGGTCAAAGTTGCAAAATTGTGCTTAGGCATTAACATATGTTTTACCCTTAGGCGTGAAGGGGTTAAGAGCAGCAGAAGCCGAAACATAACCTACGTCATTCGTTACATCTCCGATTTTGTTTCCCTACAGATATGTGCCATGCTACACCCCAGATTTGGCATTACAGATGTTGCTGTGAGAGTGGGAGGGCACTACATCATTGCCGCTTGCAGCGAACTCAGCCGCACCACCATTTTTTGAACAAAGCAAGATCTGCCACCAGTATGGAGAAGGGGAAGAAGGTTTAGTCTTCTACAGATCACCATAAATATGGAGCTTGTACCTGAATGCTACACTGCATGAAAAGAATGAAGAACACCGTTCCAATTCATGGATGGAAAAGTCACCACAGGAACATGATAAATGAGACGTCGATAGTAGTAGTTGCCACACATTCACCTGGACTTGTTCTGTAATGTTGAAGACATTTCATAGCTTCTCCAAGACGCTTCTTCAGTTCTAACGATTGTCTGGAAGATACTCCAAAATTTACATCCACAAAAATGAGATGTTATACGATGTTAAAACTTCTCTGTGTGGCCTACTGCCCTGTTAGCTGTCCTGTTATACCGAAGGAGTAAGAGTTGGTGGTGGTCTTACTTGGGACTTCCACATAGGTAGAAATATGGAGCTTGTATCTGAATGCTACACTGCATGAAAAGAATGAAGAACACCATTCCAATGCATGGATGGAAAAGTTACCACAGGAACATGATAAATGAGACGTCGATAGTAGTAGTCGGCCACATTCAGCTGGACTTTTATTTAATGTTGAAGACATTTCATAGGTTCTCCAAGACACTTCTTCAGTTCTAATGATTGTCTGGAAGATACCCCAAAATTTACATCCACAAAAATGAGATGTTATACGATTTTAGAACTTCTCTGTGTGGCCTACTGCCCTGTTAGCTGCCCTGTTATACCCAAGGAGTAAGAGTTGGTGGTGGTGGTCTTACATGGGACTGTTATATCGAAGGAGTAAGAGTTAGTGGTGGTCTTACTTGGGGCTTCCACATAGGTAGAAATATGGAGCTTGTATCTGAATGCTACACTGCATGAAAAGAATGAAGAACACCATTCCAATGCATGGATGGAAAAGTTACCACAGGAACATGATAAATGAGACGTCGATAGTAGTAGTTGGCCACATTCAGCTGGACTTGTTCTGTAATGTTGAAGACATTTCATAGGTTCTCCAAGACATTTCTTCAGTTCTAATGATTGTCTGGAAGATACCCCAAAATTTACATCCACAAAAATGAGATGTTATACGATTTTAGAACTTCTCTGTGTGGCCTACTGCCCTGTTAGCTGCCCTGTTATACCCAAGGAGTAAGAGTTGGTGGTGGTCTTACATGGGACTGTTATATCGAAGGAGTAAGAGTTAGTGGTGGTCTTACTTGGGGCTTCCACATAGGTAGAAATATGGAGCTTGTATCTGAATGCTACACTGCATGAAAAGAATGAAGAACACCATTCCAATTCATGGATGGAAAAGTTACCACAGGAACATGATAAATGAGACGTCGTAGTAGTAGTCGGCCACATTCAGCTGGACTTGTTCTGTAATGTTGTAGACATTTCATAGCTTCTCCAAGACACTTCTTCAGTTCTAATGATTGTCTGGAAGATACCCCCAACATTTACATCCACAAAAATGAGACGTTATACGATATTAGAACTTCTCTGTGTGGCCTGCTGCCCTATGTTAGCTGTCCTGTTATACCGAAGAAGTAAGAGTTGGTGGTGGTCTTACTTGGGGCTTCCACATAGGGAGCCAGCCAAGTGTCTACTTCCATTCGTTGGAACAAAAGTGCAAAACTGCCTATAACAATCAGACTGATTTCCTTTCTAGATCACTAAATGTTGCCACCTTATTAGATGTTACGCTTTGTCTTTCTGAAGACTGAGGTCCGCTGATGATGGTTGAGGCTGTAGGTACAGAGCTCACACGTGTTTAGAGAAACCTCACGAGGACATATAGCGGGACCTCCTCTGTCGAAGACATTTATTAGCTGCAGCTCCTACAGTGCAGCATTTGGAAATCCAGAGCTTCCAGGAGATGAGGGACTGACAGGGTGTCAAAGCTGAACTGCGGGATAAGTAAATATCATCTAGGACTGCTCCTGGAATCTCAGTGATCTTTGTGTATTTCTTCCAGATCTATGCAGTCATCCAATGTGAGACTTCCTGTAATAAAGACTGCTCACTGCTGCTCTCTCTATGTGTGCAGGGGGATTGGTCTGGTCTCCGCCCCTTCTATAGTTTTCTGCAGGTGGTCTGCAGTGGGTGGAGGCTGCTGGGCCCCTCCCACAGCTCTGTGCTCTCTCTCCCTCTCCTTGTGCAGGGTGACTGGTTTTGTCTCCACCCCTCCTGTAGTTTTCTGCAGGCAGCCTGTAGTGGGTGGAGCCTCCTGACCCCCCCCCCCCCCCCAGCTCTGTTCTCTCCCATTGTGCAGGGTGACTGGTCTTGTCTTCACCCCCTCCTGTAGATTTCTGCAGGCAGCCTGGGCCGAGATTGCTGGGCCCTTCCTTCAGCTCTGCTTTCTGCGCAGTGATGATTCCAGGTACTATCTGAGGTTGCAAATAATTTGATGCACGCAACATAAATGTGTTCCACTTGTGGCTATTGAGGAATACATTGCAATGAAAGCTTTTTTTTGTGCTCAGATTTCACCTTTAACCATCTCCCGCCCGTCATATAAGGCGGTTCTCTCGTTCTGGGAGGAGTCATAGGACGTCCTCCCACTCTACCCGCACGTGCGTGGCTCCGGGAGTGCGCAGCATGGCGGACGGTGGTGAGTTGTGTCCCTAAGACACAGTGGATCACCGATCAACGGAAAGAGCCGAAGATGTCAGCTCAGTCATGTGATCAGCTGTGTCCAATCACAGCTGATTGCATGTAAACAGGGAAATGCTGGTTATCGGCATTTCTCTCCTCTCGAGCCGTCACGCTGACAGAGGAGTTGAGAGGAGAGCCGGTAATCGGCATCCCTCAGAGGGGACATGTACACTGATCATCAGGGCACTAATGATCAGTGTGCCCTGATGATCAGTGTAGCCCCAGCAGTGCCACCTGTCAGTGTCCATCTGAGCAGCCTTTCAGTGCCACCTATCCGTGCTGCCAGTCAGTGCCAGCTATCAGTGCGCATCAGTGTCGCTTATCAGTGCGCATCAGTGTCGCCTATCAGTGCCGCCTAACAGTGCCAGTCAGTGCCACCTAGTGCCACCTAGCAGTGTCAGATATGAGTGCTGCCTTTCAGTGCCCAGCAGTGATGCCTGTCAATACCCATCAGTGCCACCTACCAGTGCCTCCTATCAGTGCCCATCACTGCAGCTCATTCACGCACATCAGCGATGGAGAAAAATCACTTATTTACAATATTTTATAACAGAAACTAAGAAAAAACTTTTTTTTTTCCAAAATTTTCATTTGTTTTTGGTTTGTTTAGCAAAAAATAAAAAAACCCCGAGGTGATTAAATACCACCAAAAGAAAGCTCTGTCTCAAAAAATGATAAAAATTTCATATGGGTACAGTGTTGCATGACCGCACAATTGTCATTCAAAGTGCAATGGTGCTGAAAGCTGAAAAACTGGCCTGGGCAGGAAGGGGGTAGAAGTGCCCGGTGGGCAGGAAGGGGGTAGAAAGTGTCCTGTGGGCAAAAAGGGGGTAGAAGTGTCCTGTGGGCAGGAAGGGGGTAGAAGTGCCCGGTGGGCAGGAAGGGGGTAGAAGTGCCCGGTGGGCAGGAAGGGGGTAGAAGTGCCCGGTAGGCAGGAAGGGGGTAGAAGTGTCCTGTAGGCAGGAAGAGGGTAGAAGTGCCCGGTGGGCAGGAAGGGGGTAGAAGTGCCCGGTGGGCAGGAAGGGGGTAGAAGTGCCCGGTGGGCAGGAAGAGGGTAGAAGTGCCCGGTGGGCAGGAAGAGGGTAGAAGTGCCCGGTGGGCAGGAAGGGGGTAGAAGTGCCCAGTAGGCAGGAAGGGGGTAGAAGTGCCCTGTAGGCAGGAAAGGGGGTAGAAGTGCCGGTGGGCAGGAAGGGGGTAGAAGTGTCCTGTAGGCAGGAAGGGGGTAGAAGTGCCCGGTAGGCAGGAAGGGGGTAGAAGTGTCCTGTAGGCAGGAAGTGCGGGGGGGGTAGAAGTGCCTGGTAGGCAGGAAGGGGGTAGAAGTGTCCTGTAGGCAGGAAGGGGGTAGAAGTGTCCTGTAGGCAGGAAGGGGGTAGAAGTGACCGGTGGGCAGGAAGGGGGTAGAAGTGTCCGGTAGGCAGGAAGGGGGTAGAAGTGCCCGGTAGGCAGGAGGGGGTAGAAGTGTCCTGTAGGCAGGAAGGGGGTAGAAGTGTGACCGGTGGGCAGGAAGGGGGGGGGGTAGAAGTGTCCGGTAGGCAGGAAGGGGGTAGAAGTGTCCGGTAGGCAGGAAGGGGGTAGAAGTGCCCGGTGGGCAGGAAGGGGTAGAAGTGTAGAAAGTGCCCGGTGGGCAGGAAGGGGGTAGAAGTGTCCCTGTAGGCAGGAAGGGGGTAGAAGTGCCCTGTAGGCAGGAAGGGGGTAGAAGTGCCCTGTAGGCAGGAAGGGGGGGTAGAAGTGCCCTGTAGGCAGGAAGGGGGTAGAAGTGCCCGGTGCAGGCAGGAAGGGGGTAGAAGTGCCTGTAGGCAGGAAGGGGGTAGAAGTTACCCTGTAGGCAGGAAGGGGGTAGAAGTGTACCTGTGTACTGTAGAAGTGCCAGGAAGGAAGGAAGGGGGTAGAAGTGTCCGGTAGGCAGGAAGGGGGTAGAAGTGCCCGGTAGGCGGGGAAGGGGGGTAGAAGTGCCCGGTGGGCAGGAAGGGGTAGAAGTGCCCTGGGGGGGGAAGGGGGTAGGGCCCGGGGCGGGAAGGGGGTAGAAGTGGCGGGGGGTGGGAAGGGAAGGGGGTAGTGCCCCGGTGGGGGGGAAGGGGGTAGAAGTGCAGGTAGGGCGGGGAAGGGGGAAGGGGGAAGTGCCCTGTAGGCAGGAAGGGGGTAGAAGTGCCCGGGGAGGTAGGGGGGGTGTGGGTGGGGTGGGGGGGGGGGGTAGAAGTGCCCTGTAGGCAGGAAGGGGGGTCTAGGGGGTAGAAGTGCCCGGTGGGCAGGAAGGGGGTAGAAGTGTCCTGTAGGCAGGAAGGGGGTAGAAGTGTCCTGTAGGCAGGAAGGGGGTAGAAGTGTCCGGTAGGCAGGAAGGGGGTAGAAGTGTCCGGTAGGCAGGAAAGGGGGTAGAAGTGCCCGGTAGGCAGGAGGGAGGGGGGGGTAGAAGTGTCCGGTAGGCAGGAAGGGGGGTAGAAGTGCCCTGTAGGCAGGAAGGGGGTAGAAGTGTCCGGTAGGCAGGAAGGGGGGGGTAGAAGTGTCCTGTAGGCAGGAAGGGGGTAGAAGTGCCCTGTAGGCAGGAGGGGGGTAGAAGAAGTGGGTAGGCAGGAAGGGGGTAGAAGTGTCCTGGGGCAGGAAGGGGGGTAGAAGTGCCCTGTAGGCAGGAAGGGGGGTAGAAGTGCCCTGTAGGCAGGAAGGGGGTAGTGGTAGAAGTGCCCGGTGGGGGGAAGGGGGGTAGAAGTACCCTGTAGGCAGGAAGGGGGTAGAAGTGTCCGGTAGGCGGGAAGGGGGTAGAAGTGCCCGGTAGGCGGGAAGGGGGTAGAAGTGCCCGGTGGGCAGGAAGGGGGTAGAAGTGAAGTAGATTCCCTGTAGGCGGGAAGGGGGTAGAAGTGCCCGGTGGGCAGGAAGGGGGTAAGGTAGAAGTGCCCTGTGGGGCAGGAAGGGGGTAGAAGTGCCCTGTAGGCGGGGAAGGGGGGTAGAAGTGCCCGGGTAGGCAGGAAGGGGGTAGAAGTGTCCTGTAGGCAGGAAGGGGGTAGAAGTGCCCTGTAGGCAGGAAGGGGGGTAGAAGTGTCCGGTATGGGCCCTTTGTGGGAAGGGGGTAGAAGTGTCCGGTAGGCAGGAAGGGGGTAGAAGTGTCCGGTAGGCAGGAAGGGGGGTAGAAGTGTCCGGTAGGCAGGAAGGGGGGTAGAAGTGCCCGGTAGGCAGGAAGGGGGTAGAAGTGTCCGGTAGGCAGGAAGGGGGTAGAAGTGTCCTGTAGGCAGGAAGGGGGGTAGAAGTGTCCGGTAGGCAGGAAGGGGGGTAGAAGTGTCCGGTAGGCAGGAAGGGGGGTAGAAGTGCCCTGTAGGCAGGAAGGGGGTAGAAGTGTCCGGTAGGGCAGGAAGGGGGTAGAAGTGTCCGGTAGGCAGGAAGGGGGTAGAAGTGTCCGGTAGGCAGATAGGGGGGGGGTAGAAGTGCCCTGTAGGCAGGAAGGGGGGTATATAAGTGCCTTGTAGGCAAGGGGGGTTAAGGACCGGGCAATGGCAGATTGGTGCAGCTTCCTTCCTCTTGTCCTTGGCCATAAGCTACTATAAGAAATCATAAAAAGTTGGGCCGAGGACCCTCCTGTAGGGTTCCTTAATGCTACTACTTAAAGGGATCTATTTTAAAACATTCCCTACATTGATGTCAGAAGCGCTCCTCCAAGCTGAAGGAAATATCACCGTAATTTTCGTAAGAGATTAATGCCTGTATCGGAGGCTCCATCTAGTGGCCAACATGCAGTATAGTTTTCTCCTTGGAGGCATTTCCAAAATTTGTACCACTTGTTGACCACTTGATAGAGCCAAGGATTTTTTTTTTTTTTTTTTTTTTTTTTTTCAATTTTTTTATTTTTTTTTTTTTTTTTTTTTTTTTTTTTTTTTTTTTTTTTTTTTTTTTTTTTTTTTTTTTTTTTTTTTTTTTTTTTTTTTTTTTTTTTTTTTTTTTTTTTTTTTTTTTTTTTTTTTTTTTTTTTTTTTTTTTATTTTTTTTTTTTTTTTTTTTTTTTTTTTTTTTTTTTTTTTTTTTTTTTTTTTTTTTTTTTTTTTTTTTTTTTTTTTTTTTTTTTTTTTTTTTTTTTTTTTTTTTTTTTTTTTTTTTTTTTTTTTTTTTTTTTTTTTTTTTTTTTTTTTTTTTTTTTTTTTTTTTTTTTTTTTTTTTTTTTTTTTTTTTTTTTTTTTTTTTTTTTTTTTTTTTTTTTTTTTTTTTTTTTTTTTTTTTTTTTTTTTTTTTTTTTTTTTTTTTTTTTTTTTTTTTTTTTTTTTTTTTTTTTTTTTTTTTTTTTTTTTTTTTTTTTTTTTTTTTTTTTTTTTTTTTTTTTTTTTTTTTTTTTTTTTTTTTTTTTTTTTTTTTTTTTTTTTTTTTTTTTTTTTTTTTTTTTTTTTTTTTTTTTTTTTTTTTTTTTTTTTTTTTTTTTTTTTTTTTTTTTTTTTTTTTTTTTTTTTTTTTTTTTTTTTTTTTTTTTTTTTTTTTTTTTTTTTTTTTTTTTTTTTTTTTTTTTTTTTTTTTTTTTTTTTTTTTTTTTTTTTTTTTTTTTTTTTTTTTTTTTTTTTTTTTTTTTTTTTTTTTTTTTTTTTTTTTTTTTTTTTTTTTTTTTTTTTTTTTTTTTTTTTTTTTTTTTTTTTTTTTTTTTTTTTTTTTTTTTTTTTTTTTTTTTTTTTTTTTTTTTTTTTTTTTTTTTTTTTTTTTTTTTTTTTTTTTTTTTTTTTTTTTTTTTTTTTTTTTTTTTTTTTTTTTTTTTTTTTTTTTTTTTTTTTTTTTTTTTTTTTTTTTTTTTTTTTTTTTTTTTTTTTTTTTTTTTTTTTTTTTTTTTTTTTTTTTTTTTTTTTTTTTTTTTTTTTTTTTTTTTTTTTTTTTTTTTTTTTTTTTTTTTTTTTTTTTTTTTTTTTTTTTTTTTTTTTTTTTTTTTTTTTTTTTTTTTTTTTTTTTTTTTTTTTTTTTTTTTTTTTTTTTTTTTTTTTTTTTTTTTTTTTTTTTTTTTTTTTTTTTTTTTTTTTTTTTTTTTTTTTTTTTTTTTTTTTTTTTTTTTTTTTTTTTTTTTTTTTTTTTTTTTTTTTTTTTTTTTTTTTTTTTTTTTTTTTTTTTTTTTTTTTTTTTTTTTTTTTTTTTTTTTTTTTTTTTTTTTTTTTTTTTTTTTTTTTTTTTTTTTTTTTTTTTTTTTTTTTTTTTTTTTTTTTTTTTTTTTTTT